TGTGCTTGGGGAGGAGGGCAGGTTGTCTTCCACTTACGACACAGATGGTTGGCACACTGCTCGCCGTTGCAGTCACTGCACGCCGCTCCCGTCTTGTACGGGCGCCATGGGTAATTCCCACTGCAAAGGAAAGTAACGCTGCTCTCAAACCGCCCGGGCTTTTGGCTCTTCGGTCGCTAATACCTGCCCACCTCTGATGCTGCACCAAACACAGCTTGGTGCTTCTGCTTCAGAGCATGGCCAAAGCGTGATTTACAGCATGCCTCAAACTGCCCATAACCACACTGAGAGGGATTTTAGATGCGTGCAATCTCAGCGGCGCTAAACTTTGTGGTAAAAATCTCATTACTTGCAGCAAGGTGAGGCTTTCATTGCTTGGTGTAAGCAGGAGAAAATCCTTTGGGGTATATTCACCTTAGGAATTGAAATTGTGCATGCGTCTTGCTTTGGCCCTTGGCAGAGTTGAAAACAATTAAAGATTAGATAAATAAAGAACTTAGTTGTTGCTAGTCAAAAGCAACAGCCGGCTGTGGCATTACCCCATTTCTTACTACTCAGCGGCCCGTTTGCAGTGTCCTCACCCAGCAGGGAAGCATCCAGCTTTAAAGCCCTCCCTAGACCCCCTTGCCTCCCCAGAGAGCACCCTGCCTGCTCTGCTGGGTGCTGTTGAGGGCACCCCTCCTGTTCCCCATGGGGTCCCTGCCAACACAAGGGCAAGCAATGCAGCATCATTTTGGCCCTCTGTATGACACAGGTGTTGGCTAAGGGGCAGCAAGAGGAAGGCTTGGCTCATGTTTTTGGGAGATATGGGCATGAGGCTTGAGGGACAGAGAGCACCTCCCAGAAGCGCTGGAGGCTGCTTGCCTGTGCACAGGGTTTCTGCACCATCCAGCATGGTCGGGTGCATGACAAGTGCTGAGAAGGGAAAGGAGAGGCTGCCCTGGGTGATCAGTGGCTTTTGGCTTGAGATCCGGCAGAGGAAATGGTCCTTCTGCCCGTTTCAGTGTGGGGCTTCTGGGGAGAGTGGTTTTGTTGCTTTGGCACAGCAGCAACGGTGTCGTTTCAAGGTATCTGGTCAAGGGTACACATTCTTCAAGGATGAAGCATGGACAAAAGGAATGCCAAACTCGCTCGGGTTCATGGGCTGGCATGGCATGTGAAGCTTTTAAAGCTGTATGTAGAATGTAGTGGCATTAAGTAGCTGGAAAAGGGTAAAAACCCATCCATCCTAGATGCAACAAGTATCCTAGTGACAAAGCATATGAAGGACCTCCAGATAAACTCTTGCCATGAGGAGCCCCAGTGTCATGAGCAGCCCTCAGCTCCAAACTCTCATGCTTTAGCATGAGACTAAGACTGCAGCTGCAAGCATTGCTCACTTTAATATTTATCCAAACCGTTGACCTAAAGACTTAATTCTGCAGGCACATGTAAATATTTTTAGACTGGGCTTGCACCCTGGTGACCATCTGGGCCTGCCTTGGCACTCGGGAGCAAGGCATTAGTTTCCAAATGATCGCTTTAGTATTTTCATTTCAGTATCTTAAATTTTACCCTTTCTACCAATGCCACCGCTTTTTGGCTAGAATACATAGCCCTCATCTAGCCAAAAAAACCTGTTTGGACAGAGGTGTACCTCCTTCTCTATTTTGGGGACCATTTCCTCCCACAAAACACATGAATGGATGGACTGATCTAATGAAGTTGCACATAGTGGGAGGGAAGGGGCAGGACCCCAAACCCTGTGAAATAGTAGTCATGAAAAACCTTACGCTGGCCCGTAGTTGCAGATGAAGTGTGCTGCGTTGGTTATGGAGGTGTACGCCACGCTGGGACAGAAATGGACAGCACAGCCAACCTTGTAGCTCGTAGCCCAAACAATCTGCAAAGACAGATGGGTACAGCGGTGACAAAGGCTTTGCTTCAGCATCTGAAGTGTTAGGGAGAAGAACCTGCCCTCCTCTGTTTCATGACAGCAAATTGGCTGAGGAGCACTCTTTGGGCAGGCTTCATGGGGGAAAGCAGCGGTGATGGATCTTGAAATTATGGTGTATTCTGAAAAACGCCTGACTTTTTTTGCACAATTCACCAGGTGTTTATTAACATGACTGAAAGAAAGAATAACTGCCTGTAAGAGGTAGTTTTCCTCTCTTGCAAAGGAGAAGTTCGTCTCCTTTGCTTCATGGCGATCTGTTAGCTTTGCTACAGCTCCTATGAGGGTGATTGCCCCTGTACTAAATCCAGAGGGGACCTGTAGGCAAATTGCCAGGAGGCACTGGTGTTACAAGAGGAGCACAAGAGGGCGAAGGAGCGCATCCAGGGTGTGGTCCTGCCTTTTAGCATCATGGCCATGGCTAAGATAATCTTGAAGCAAGGGCATTACACCATCTAACAGTTCTCTGCCTGCTACAAGCTGTTCAGTTCAACACAGCATCCTATATCCAGCTCAAAGATTACAGTGCAGCCAAAAGCTTCAGTCCTGGAAAAACAAGCCCCGTGACGGAAGCCGGGGTGAGGCGAGGGCGCAGTGGTACCTGAGGGCTGTACAACAGCCGTGATGCCTGACTATGCGAGAGAGGTGGAGAGATCCCGGCAGCATGGGAGTTGAAGAAACACACTCGCCCCTCTGCCAACCTGAAGGGGAGGTTTCTGTCCTTTCTGTTTGTGGGTGTTTGGTGCCAGCTCTGGGAAGAGGACACGCTGCTTGGGCTCCTGAGGGTGCTCTCAGCCCAGCGGCAGAGCAGGGGCTTTTCCCAACGTCAGCCATAGACAGCTGCATCCCCGAGGATGGTGAAGGACTGAATCGCAGAACCCTCCCCGTCCCAGGTGGCCACCAGCTGAGGCACATGCTGGGGATGTGGCTGTGGTAGCTGCAGTAACTGTACCCAGAGGAAACTCCTCTTATCTGCAGCTGGGAAGGAGGAATGAGCGGTTCCCCAAAGGTGCAGACCCAAGGATGCCTCCCAAAGCTGGGCAGACATGCAGCTTCTAGGTACTGTCACTATCACTGCTGACTCCAAGTGAGAATAATCTTATTTTCTCATTCTCCCCCATGCAACCATCTGGGCTGCTGCTTTACAAACAACATGGTAAAGAGCTCTGTGCCTCAGTGCCACGTAAGGTGCATTTCACCACAGCTTCCAGATGCTGGCTCTTGCCGTGCCCTTGTGAGCAAGGTCAAAAAGCAACACGCTGTCACCTCTCATGGGTCTTGCATCCAAATATCTTCTCTGCAAGCAAGAACCTGTGCGTGTCATTCAGACACCCCAGCAGCTTCAGTTTATCCCTTCAAATCCTAAATGCATATGCGTATCTCCACAGAAAATATTGAATAAATTCAGGTCAAAATCTAATCCCTAGATCTGCTGTTGCAAGCCGTCCTGCTCTCCCATAGCTGTGGTGAGTTCGCTGGGAATCATGGTTGGGAAAAATGCGCACGTGATGCTTGCAGAGCTGCAGACATCTCTTTGCGTGCCGGTATTTCCCCAGCCCTTGGCATGGCTGGTGGTGCCAAGCAGAGGCCGTGCCTGCCAGAGCTGGGGCATCGTCCCACCATGAGCTGCAGCCCACAGCCACTGCTGTTGCCTGGTTTTTGGCCACTGCTTGGCTAAATCTGACTGCTTGACGGCTGTCCTGCTTTCCTTCTGGAAACAAAATACAACTGGCATATTTAAAAAAAAAAAAAATGCGGTGACTCTTTTCCTCCCTAAAATGGGGACATAAGAATATCTCGTGCACACAGACAGAAAATAAGACTACAACACGTGGAAAACGATTCATTGCATCTCCAACAGAGATCTAGAGTTTCTGTGTCAAAATGGCAATGCTGGTTCATGGTTTAGATGGAGAAATGCAATGCCTACCTGCGTATAGTGACCGCATACTTTTCTGCACTTATTGGTGGCATAATCGTAGGCGTTGACCTCGTTGTACCAAGAGGTGATGGCTCTTTGCACAGTAAAACCAGAATGTGTGCCAGTCCAGAGGTTTTCTCCAACGGTGGTAAATTTGGGGTGGGCCTTCCCTGGATCTTTGAGGTATGTATTATGTTTAAACAGGCATTTCTTCGCCCAACCTTTTGCAGTCTTTGCCAAATCTGGATCCCAACTCTGCAAAATAAAGACAACTAAAAATCATTTTGGTATCTTAGCAATGCAGTAATTCAGAGCGACTCTCTGGAAAAGCTGGGTCTCAGTAGCGTATATGCTTCATGTTAATTTAGTTTTTGCTCCTGCTGAGACAGAGCTACATTGTAAACTGGCTTGTAGTTAATTTCTGCCTTGCACTTAGTCAATCATTAAACTTGAGGAAGTTTTTGGGGTGGTGAATGATCTTGGCTGACTCATTTGTTGGACATCAAGAGCTGTACGTCAGTCAAATACAGTGTTCGGGGTGCGAACTTACTGTACCCTTCAGACCAGAGTGCAGCCTCATGCATTAAGGCCACTGCTGGCAGGTCAGTTCATGAGCATGCTGTGATTTTTGGGACAGTTTAAACTCAACCCCTTGGTTTGCATCTTTGTGTTTGGTGGCTTCAAATGTTAGGGCTGAATTAATATTTGTGGAATCACTCATTCACCTGCTATTCAATCCTATAGAAAGTGGTTATTTAAGCAACTGAGCTATATAAATGTCTTTTGTTTGCACTGGAGGTTGTGTCTGGTTTTGCTTGGTTTTCTTGTGCACACAACTTGATTGAGCAAATACAACATTATACCTCCTGGAGTGTATGCCTGTACTTCTGGTTACACTTTGTGCTGAACTATTTTGGATTGCACTTTTTGAAAACATGAACTTTTTTTATTTGTCCTTTTCTATATGGATTAAAATACCTCGGTTGCTTCTGCAAACAACAGAATCACTAGAAAAGTTGTTTTGAATGGATTAGTAACGGTGACTGAGGAAAAGGACTTGGAGGTTGGTAGATTTTATGGCTATGTTTCATATAATATATCATTTTTATACCATAGATAAGCCTGAAACAATTTGTGTATTGTTTATGCTACCTGTCAGGAAACACAAATCGCAAGATCATACCAAAATACATCTAACAAGATTTGAAAATACTTTGTAAGCTATGTCTTCTGTTTCCTGTTTCTTCCCATGGGGAGAGGGGTATAATCCCACAAAACTAACACATAAATAATTTGCCTAGGAACTCAGTGTATTGAACGTTAAAGGTAAATTTGGGGCAGGGGATCTTATTTCAAGTAAGAAGCTGACATTTCTTTAGATGATAACTTTTAAGAACAATGAACAAAATCTGGCATTGTACAGCATTTCTCTTCCAGTCCTAGCATTACTGCAGGTTAAGACAGAGCCTGCAGTTTACATCTTGGCAATGCTCTGGGGTCTCAAGGAGAAGACCATGGTGAAAGATCTATGACAATGGTGGATGCACCTTGGTCCTTCACAGTCTTGTTTTTCACATTCTGCATTTTAGGAATCCACACATCTCTCTTCTCTTTTGTCCTACAATAGTATTAATAAGTTTAAAGTTCCACAAAGGTATACGTAACAGTAAGTTTAAATGTAAATTAATAAGTTTAAATGTGCTTTCCTTTTTTTGTGTGAATGCTTAAACTGGCTGACAGCTGAAAAAGCAATGTGCAGAAACTGATATTTCGGGATGATCTTTAGTTTAAATATAGTTATACTCCTTATTTGCTTATGAAACTGCATTTATGCAGAAAGATCGGACTAAACTGCGTGGGGAAAAATGCACAGGACAGGCAAGTTTGCATATAGAGATCATTGCTGTTAGAGGAAACAGTAATTACAATTTTTTTTTCCCCATGAACTATTTATCAGTTTTGGTTTTATAACTCAGATGAGTTGCTTGCTGATTTAGGGAAGGGAAAACTGAACACCTGGTAAGTGAAAAGTGATGCAAGGCAGCAGAAAGTCAGAGGAGACTCTTGTGAAGCCCTGAGGAAGCTGGTGAGACTCTTTCTGCTGGTTTTGAAGGGCCTTGGCACAGACCTAAGCAATGCTTTGGGTGAATGGGAAAGGGGTCACATTTGTCGGGTAAAAAAAAGTTACACTGGCATTCTCATTTTATCATAAATGTATTACAAACATAGATGGTTGGACTTTGTTACTTGCAGTTAAAGGAGTTTCTATCTTGTCTTTTCTTTTAGAAACTATTTTTCCAAAAGGTGGAAATGCCCTGAGTTCGTAGTCTGCACTTTTACAGATCTAGGTGGACAGTTATCTACAGCAAACATAAGTTCCCTGTGAAATAGAGAGGTCATCTTCCTTTCCTCATTTTAAAGTGCTAAAGGCATTCAAAAATAAAGAAATATCCTGTTTTCAACAACAATGCTTTTACTTTCCTAGCAGATTTTAGCGTATATTGTACTGCTTTCTCCACATTAAATTATTCCTGAGACAGGTCATACTTAAGACTAGGGTTTTTGCAGTGTTTTAAAATAAACTTGCCATGATTTGGTTCTTGTTTTATTTGTAATAATCTTTGTTTGTTTGTTTGTTTCTTAAGCTGTTTTTTCCAGATTTCAGTTCTTCAATTTTTCAAAAGGAAAAATTAGGCACAATTTAAAAAGAGGAATAATACATCTTTTAGTACATCATAGCAAGATTTTGTTAGTGTGGTGCCAGTAAAGCAACCTGGAAAACAGATCCTGCAGCAATATATACTGGAAGTTCAGGACATGCGGCTGAAGAAAGCTGAAGTAAAAGACACAGCTAGAAGAGAAACTAAATTATTTCTTCTCAGGCTTGCAACTCGAGCTTGCTCACTGCTCACTTACCGCTCCCTAATGGGCACTTGTGTTTTAGTGTTTGACAACCACAAACAGCAAATGATTTGCTTTTGGTTTTAGAACTTCTGTTGGGGTGTTGCTAATTACAGACATGGTTATGTCCTCTTCTGGTGGTGATCATGTCAGATAGTAAGAAAGAGGAGCAAAAGAGATCAGAATGAGGACAATCGCTGTGGTCCACCTGAGAGATCTGTGGAGATTATCCCAAGGAGAAACACGGTATCTAAAGTATTACCCAGTCAAAGCACAAAAGGTGATGGATGCTGCAAGAGGCAGCTCCCAAGCTACTGGAATTGAACATCTCACAAATCAGAGACGGGCTTCCCAGCCATAAGCCCAGCTTTGTGCACACATTTACAGCTTCCTCCTCGCTGGGTTTTCCATGTGCCGCCCAGCAGGGAGACAAGTGTCATGAGCCATCTGAAGTGAGCGGTGGCCACTTTCGGGCATATTTTGAATCACGCCAGGCTGTCTTTTGCATGGCGGCTGCAGACACTGCCCGACAACGTGGCCAGGGAGAGGGCAGGGGGGCACAGCAACATGGGACCTGATGCCTCCAGCACTCGCTCCTGCTGTACTTGTTGCTTTTTGGCTTTCCCTGCAGCCCCAGCACCTAGGAACAGCTGCTCTGTTGGCTCAGCCCGTGAGAGCCTTGCAAAGAAAGCTTAGAGAAAGCTCTCCAACGTTGTTTGGCAACGGTCTCTGCCCTTGATGGCTCAAGTCTGAAAGGTTGTGCTTAGGCCTGCACATAAATTACACCCTGGGCTGTTGAGCAGAGGTGCCTTGGAACGAGGAGGCTTTTCACAGCACAAAAAGACAGCGTTAGGCTGAGGGTTGAAATCTTGAGTTTCAAATGAGGAAATTAAGCCAGGCAAAACCATACACGTACCCGATCATATAAAGCCATCTGATAATCAGAGCCTTTTTCTCTGTTTTAAAAAAAAAAGTAGCTTTTATGACACCAGGAGGTTGGTGGGGTTTTTTCTTTTTTCTTTTTTTTTTTTTTTTTGCATTTGAGCACAAAAACAATCTTTGAGAATCATAAACACCATCACAATGCTATGCACTTACACGTAAGGCATGGAGATCCCCTTACCATATAGAGCATGTTGCTGGCTGGTGGATTCACTCCAGACCGGAATCTGTTATGGGTTTGCACACATTCCTCAATAAACTTTGGATCTCCAACATCAGGCAACGTTGGTGGTTCATAGGAGTCAGAGGAACGACAGAAGTGCAGTAAAGCCAGCACACAGGCAGAAAATCTGCTTGTCATGATTCCCAGCCCTGGTCTTCCAGCTTTAAGAGCAGAGGGTTTCGGCTGTATGAGGTGGTTTCAGCTCCACCAGCAGCATTTTGCTTGCAAGGCTTGTGGGCTGGACTTATCTTAGCCATGGTAATTGAATATGGTGTTGGTCACAGGAAATGAGTCATATCTCAGGAGCGTTGCTATGAGAATAAGGAAATTAAGCTACAAGTTCACATCAGAGCTGTGGCAGCTTTGTCTCTCTCTTTTTTTCTTCTTTCTTTAACTGTGGTGGGCAAGCTGCTTCTCTCCTGCCCTTTGGCCACCTTTGTTTCTGTTTCTTTGGCCCCCACCATCCCATTCATAGCGATCATTATGAATTGCAGTAAAGTTTTGGATCAATTTTCTGCTTTTCATGAAAATAGCATTGCTGTTAAAGCTGTTACTCTGAGCCAAAATGCTGTGGGAAATAATTGATTTGAACTATGACTTTCACTACAGTATGAACAGTCACTTTGGCTGTACATTGAGTTATCAGAGGGGTAAGTTTGGCTGAGAACTGTGATTTAAATGTGCTGCAGTTATTGATGGGTTTCTCCTGCAATCACATGCTTGTGCTATGTGTTGCTATCAAATTCTCCTGCCAAGCCTCAGCAATTTGTAATCCATTACCTGCAACCCAAACCCCTAGCAGAGCTGCGTGCTGTCTCGAGCTGGGTGCCCAGCACCCACACTGGGTTTCACAGACAGGAGCTGGGAGCTGATGTCCCACGCACATTGCCTCAGATGCCCAACACTCCCTGCTCAGACCCACCACCATCACCACCCTCTTTCTCACACTGCCCTTAACTATCACCTGTCCATCAAACTCAGGCCCTTTCCCACAGTCCCAATCTGGACATCTCTGTGGGAACAAGGTTGGGTTTCTTCCCACTCCAGATTTTGCTTTAGGAATCTGCATCCTTTCACAGAATCACAGGATGGCAAGGGTTGGAAGGGACCTTGGGAGATCATCTAGTCCAACTCCCCTGCTAAAGCAGGGTCACCCAGAGCATGTTACACAGGACGTCATCCAGGAGAGCTTTGAATATCTCCAGAGAAGGAGACTCCACAACCCCCCTGGGCAGCCTGTTCCAGTGCTCTGTCACCCTCAAAGTAAATAAGTTCTTCTGTATATTTGAGCAGCTGGGTGTAGGTCCCAGTTATCACTTCTGCGCGTGTAGTCTTGTAGGTCTTGGGGCTGGTGGCAAGGCCATGTTAAGGTTGGTGGTCCAGGCTCACACTGTGAGCTTGCAACAGCAGCCCCACCGGCACACATTAGGTCCTGTGGGTCACACGTCTCTAGCTATTCACAGGGAAGCTGCTCACAGGTGAAAAGGCACTCTGAGGAAATCCTGGATGAGAAACACTGTGTTCACAACTCCCCTGTGGACCACTTTTTAGAGCAGAATAATGTGGTGGGCTGACCCCTGCCAGCAGCCAAGCACCCACACAGCCGCTCCCTCACTTCTCCTTCCCCAGCAGGATGGGGGGAGAAAACAGGAAGAAAAACAGTGAGAAGACTCATGTGTCAGGAAAAAGACAGCTTAATATGTGTGTAAAGGGGGATGGTGGGTGGGTGGGAGGAGGAAAGAAACAAACAACCCCCCCAAGTGATGCAAAGGCAATCGCTCACCACCCCCAGTGGCAGACTGATGCCCAGGCAGTTTCCGAGCAATGGCCACCCTGAAAGACGGCCACCCTGAAAGACAGCTCCCCACCTTTCTTCTTCTTCGGCCCCAGTTATTTTTAACTGAACACAATGTTATATCGTATAGAAAATTGCATTGGTCAATTTGGGTCAGCTGTCCCAGCTGTGTCCCACTTCCAACCCCAGCCTACTTGCTGTTGCTAGATATTGAAGATGGCAGAAGACAAGAACTGACAATTGTGAGATTAAATATGTATCTTCTTACATGGTGACATGCGGCAGCATATGACAAGAGCCCAAACATTTGGGGCTCATTTTTATTCTGTGGGGTGCCATTCCATGCTCCTTCAGAGCTGCAGTGTGGCTCAGAATTCAAGTCGCTGTGTTCTCAAAACATTAGTCCTGACTAAGATAAAGGAGGAGAAGCAGCTTTAAATATTGATAGCACAGTTTTGCATTGCTAATATCAGCCAGTATCTCTTAGCTTGAAAGATGGGTTTGTTTTCGTTACTAACAAATGTATATAGGAACAATAGGGGTCGAGGACTAAATGTTCCTAAAACCACACTGAATCCATCCAGTTTGGGCTTTTTTAATGAGGCTGAGATCTTTCACTTCCAAACCAGAATCTGCCATGGGCCCACTTCATCTTCCCTCTCCTGTGCTCCCTCCCTGCTTTCCCCACCTTCCCCTGCCTGCAAGCTCAGGTTCGCTGTCATCTACTCTGCATTTCAGATTTTGTCATCTCACATCCTAAAATTAAGCTCTCCCCATTGATACTCCATCTTAATCCTTGCTCTACCAACTTTCCCTGGTATTCTTCTAGCTATGGAGGACAAAGCTTAACTGAGAAGAACAGAATAATACAACCGACAATAGAGTAACTTCAATGGAGACTGATAACGCATAGGCTAAATAGAGTCAAGGACAAGCTTTTACTCTTTCTGTTCTTAAAAATAATAACATACTGTTAAATCTCCATTATCCAGGGAAAGCGATGTCTGGGGTAATTGAAGGTTAATGCAGATGAGTTATTGCTTCTTTTTGATCCGCTATGCCGCTTCAGACATGTCTTTGTGACGCTCCAGGCTTCCAGGAGGCTTGTTAGCATGTATAGTAATATACAGTCTATGGGGTCCCACCAGCAATCTACTCCTGAGCCAGAGCTAAGAGGCTCGTGCAGACGCAGAAGTGCGTTGCAGCTGCTGCCAACACATTACAGCAACTCTGTGCACAGCCACTTACATCTTGCCTCAAGTGAAGAAGCAGCCTTCTCTATGCTGGATAAACATCACCAGGATAATGGAGAGATGACCAAGTGTTCTTGCAAATGTGTGCAATTCTCTGAGAGTAATACAGCGGTAGGATCGCTATCAGTATACTTAATTGATCATTACTCGTAAAAGAATCTGTGTGGAAACCACTGTTGTGCCAGAAGAGCAGCACCAGCACTCAGTACCAGAAACAGTGGCCTTAAAATTGAAACACTAAGGCAGTACTGGTCACAAGAGGCTCGTGCAGACGCAGAAGGTGGGATGTGCGGATGCTCAGCAGGTGGGATGTGTGGATGCTCAGCAGGTGGGATGTATGGTGGAGTGGGAGGCCTGGGGGGCCGTGGCCGCGGCCGTGGCCGTGGTGGCTGGGGTTGTGTATCCCAGTCTGGATACCAGTAGTCATAATCTAAAAAACAATGAAGAAACAGCTGTTAAGACCCATTGAATGTAGCCATACTTATAGGAAGGCAATTAAGAACAATTTGATACGCACTTATCAGCTTCTCACGTTCCAGATTTTCTGCAGAGAGATCAGAAAAGGAAATAAATGTGAGTATCATTTAGTGGTGGTTCTTAATATGGCCATTAAGCAAGCCGTGGCCAGTAAGCCATTGCTGCCACCTGGCTGATTGCACTGACCATACCAGCCGGTGCCTAAAACATCCTGCAAGGGGGAAGCAGGCCAGCAAGAGCAGGTCCCCAGCTGGCATGGGGCTCATATTTTTTATTAAATTGAAAGAGAAGCAGAAAAGAAGCAGCTGTATAAGGAAGAATTTATGTCATGGGGAGGAGGGAGTAACATGAAAACCAAACATGGAATTCATTTAAAACTGATACACAAACCAAATTTAAGTAGTTACAGACAGCCAAATATAACTAAATTAATCACAGAAGTACTACTAAGAGCTTTGAAGCATTTTCAGCATTGCCTACGTGCATCTTATTGGAATTGCTGATTTGCCCTGTAGGAGAATGTGGTAACATGGGTTGTAGGCTCTAGCATTTAATTCTTAAAAGCTCTCTTCCTCCTCCCCCTCCCCCTAGTCTTTGAGGTGTTTCTAGGTTTCCTGTGATGCACCAGTCTGAGATCTGAAGATGAGTCAGACAGATTATCATAGAAGGAAGTAAGAATACTAAATGCTCAACTGTTTCTGCAGCTGAAGCTATCTAGAGCCTGGCTAGTAGAGACCATCTCCATTAAACCTCTGTATAAAATTCGGATTTGATTTAAGACATTGTTGCATGTCCTTTAATCTCTGTTTATTTAAAACACTTTTTCTGGCTAATTTGGGACGAGGTGTAATGACATAAAGGTCCATAGCTGCAAACTGCTGTGGAAAAACAAGCTCTCGCAGCTATTTTTCAGAAAAGTGCAGAAGTTGGAAATAAGTGTGCTGTTTGGTATAATCTTATTATCGGTTCAGGACTACAGTTTTCTGGAAAATGTGATAGAACATACTAAACAAGCAAGAAAGCAGAAGTTAAATATACCATTTCTGCTAGGAAAGAAGAATCAGATGAGTAATATTTGCTGGGGCTAAAGTTTTAGATTTGAGTTCCTGATCAAAAAAAAGGTGGAAAGTAGTCTGGTACTTCTCTTCATCAGAAAATCTCACTCTGAGAGCCTTCAACAGCAAAGTATTTCAGTTAATTCTGTCTTATACTATTCTTACCAGGGTTTGGTCCTGTTGTTATGTGGTGCACTACAGACCCACTACATACTTAGTGCAAATTGACTCACTGATACATTTCCACTGATAATTATACCACTTTTATTTCTATGCTATTTTCTTAGCTGACCACTTTGGTCTTACCACACAGCTTGTCTACACACTTCTCATTGCTGCATCCACTGCATGGTTGTCCTGCTTTATATGGTTTTCTTGGGTAATTCCCCCTGCAAAGCAGAAGAAGGGTATTTCGTTAGCTCAGTGGTTTGAAAAGCAATTTAAATACATGGTTTCATCGGATTGTTACAATAATTTATCATTAAAAGCTATTGGGGGGAGGGGGGAATCCCTTTATCCAAAAACTGATCATCACAATTGTTTGAAACTCCTTTTAGATCAGATTAAAGCTCTCACTGGCATGGGGAGCAGCTACCTGGTGTCTCTGACCATTTGAAATTAATGAGACTTCTCAGGCAATACTGTACTCAGTGTAAGCATGCAAGAATTTGCCTCTAGTCCCTCATTACACACCTGTATTTTAAAAACAAATCTGTAAAAGGCAAGTCCAGAAATTGCAAGGTACGAGATAAACTAGAGAACTGTCTTTCTTTTAGTTCTTCAATTAAAATGTCGTGTTTGGAGTTTGGGTGGGGCTGTAGAAAGATGTAATCTTTCTGAAGCGGAAATCTTGCATCTTCCCCACTTCTCCTTCAGAAACTGAAGTTGTTGTGGTTTAACCTGAGCTGGCAACTAAGCACCACGCAGCTGCTCGCTCACTCGCCCCATCCCCCCCAGTGGGATGGGGGAAAGAATCAGAAAAAAAAAAACAAAACCCATGGGTTGAGATAAAGACAGTTTAATAAAACAGCAGATGAAGACAATGATGATGATGATGATGATGATAATAATAATAATAATAGAATTTACAAAGCAAGTGATGCACAGTGCAGTTGCTCACCACCTGCCGGCTGATGCCCAGCCCATCCCCGAGCAGCAACTGCTGCCCTCCAGCCAACTTCCCCCCCAGTTCCTATACTGAGCATGACGTCCTATGGTCTGGAATATCCCTTTGGCCAGTTGGGGTCAGCTGTCCTGGCTGTGCCCCCTCCCAGCTCCTTGTGCACCTGGCAGAGCAGGAGAAGCTGAAAAGTCCTTGACTGGTGTAAGACCTGCTTAGCAACAGCTAAACCATCAGGGTGTTATCATTCTCATCCTGAGTCCAAAACACAGCACTATGCCAGCTGCTAGGAAGAAAATAACTCTATCCCAGCTGAAACCACGACAGAAGTTAAAACAGATCTTATTCCACCACTCTTGGTTATGGCAAGTGCTCTCAGCTAGGATCTTGCTTGCTTTTTTAGGAAGGGGTTTTGTGCAGCTCTGCGTCCAGCAGCTTCTGCTCCAAATGGCTGGGGGAAGATTCCCCTGGACCAGTGACAGGTGGATACAACTGCTCCCATCATTGTTGGCATCTGACAGCCAGGTCAGTTATAGGATATTTAAAAAATAAAAAACCTAAACCCCAAATGCCATAATTAACTTACGCTGGCCCATAGTCGCAAACAAAGTGTGCTGCTCTGAAGAGCCCTGGAAAATTTTCAACTGTATTGCAGAAGTGAACTGCGCAGCCAACTTTGTAACTCTCTGCCCAAACGACCTGAAGGGCAAAGGGAAATATGTAATGCACCCGTTCAAAGACTGAAAAAGCAACAGCATTAAGCGAGGAAGGAGAAGGGAAGGATCTTGTGGAGGTTTAAAACAGCCAATGCGGGAGCAAGATCAACAACCCAAAGGGCAGCTTAGGCAAACGACTGATTGATAGATGTTTCTGCAATTATTACCTGGCTCCCCTGGACACATGAAATCGTCAGGGAGATAATCCCTTTCCACTGTTACTGAAAATAGGACTCGGACATCCCTGGGGCTCAGAATATTTCTTTCCAATCTCATGCAGCAATAAAGCAGGGGGTGACGACCCCTGCTGTAATTCCTGTTCCAAAGCGGTCTGTTCCAAGCCTGTACTTGGATTTTCTGTAAAAACCACCACGTTATAAACCATTGGGCATGCAAGACTCACCTGTGTGTAGTGACCACACATGTCAGTACAGCTATTAGTGCTGAAATCATAGCTGCTGACTTCATTAAACCAGGCACTGAGGGCTGCGTCCACGGAGAAGATGGTGGCTGTGCCAGTCCAGATGTTTTCTCCAAGCGGAGTAAAGGTGGGGTGCACCTTCCCTGGCACTTTAAGGTAGTTGTTGTGCCTAAACTTGCACTTCTTTGCCCATGCTTTGGCAGTCTTAGCTAAAGCAGCATCCCAGGACTGTAGAAAAGGAAGAAAATATAACCCACACTGCAGTGACTTAGCTGATTTAAAACACTTTTAAACAGAAACTTGTAAGGATTCTTTTCTCCTTTCCTGCTTCCCATCCCTGTGTTCTGTTTCTTTCTCTGACTTGACATTTCTACTCCCACAGCAATTTTTTTCTTCTTCTTTCTCCCTTAGATATTGCAGGACACATAGTATCTACCCACTGTCCTGTAGTATCTGACTTGTTAAAATATTTAGAGCTGGATTGCAGCCTTTAAGCTGCTAGGCCTGAGAGGAGGTAAGTGGGTGAACCCCCCAGCCTTAGAGGGGCTTGAGGGACTTTGTGCCTAGGAGCTGTTGGCTGTCCAGGGATTTGCACTTTGCAGTTCTCACTACACCAGATAGGAATTCTGTTTTGCTGGCCAGGATGGAGAGAAGAAGAGTCACAACTGCTCCCTTCTCCGGCCCCTTCTGCCTCGTTGCTCTTCTCCCTCCTCAGCGTGTGGGTAAAGCAAAAAAAAGGCTCACTCATCTCTGCTGGGCTGAGGAGGAACCATTCCCATCCTGAGTGACACAAGTGATAATTTGAGAAATCAACCTGCAAGACTTGCAGAAGGATTTTATGCCACTGAATGACCAGGCACTAAAATGGCAGGTAAAATTCAGTACAGAGGAATGTAAGTTAAGGAATGTGAGGGGAAAAAAAAAAACAGTTTTGACTTTGTGTTAATAATGACAGGTTTGGAGATGGCTATTACCACTTGTAAATCAATGTTTAGTAGTAGTCTAGAAAGCAAAAAAAAAAGTGTTAGAAATTCCTTGAAAAGAAATGGAGAATAAAACCATATATATAATTACACCACTGTAGAAGTCCTGTTAAATGCTGTGTGCAGCCCCTCACCTTAGGAAGGGGACACTTGAACTGTAAAGGGCTGAGAGAACTTGGAGGAGGATGATCATCCTCACATATGGAGGGCTTTCATAAAGCAACAGAGAATGCTCTGCAGCTTTGGTCAGGGACAGCTGGACATCTTCTGTGAAGCAGATGCATAAGCAGTAATTACTTGCTCCTTCCAATACAGAGACCAGAGACTATCAAATGAAGCTAGGAATTAACAGATCCAAATCAAATGCAAGGAGATAATTTCACATGACTTGTGGTTAGGCTGTGCAGCTCCTGCTACGAAATGCTAGGGACAATAAAAACTTGCATGAGCTCAAGGCTGAAAAAAGTCATGCAACAAAAATCCATCAAGAGCTTTTAAATACATCGCAGCACCTTTGATTCAAGATGTTTCTATATATTTGTCCTGCTCTTATTCCAGGCTTGCTGAATCTAGGGTCTGAGCAGCTGTTTGCTCTTGTGAGCTAGCATTTTAAAATAAACAGTTTTTTTAAATGGCAATACATTAAAATAGTCTGAATTTTACCCCTTTATTACAAATTTCCCTTTATAGAAATGTTTTATATTGTGCATGCAGTTATGTATTTAACTTCCTTTCCAGCTACGCTGCACTGCTGGAGGGCTCAGAGTAATGAGATGAACTGGCTGGGGTTTCCTCCCTTGGTGATCTATTTACCTTTTTCCTTACGTATTCCACAGAGCAAGCTGAGACCTATCCATGGCCTCTTCTGATATCCCTTGTATTTAGCCTGAAGAAGAGAAGACTGACAGGGGACCTCATCAACACGTACAAATATCTCCAGGGTGGACATCATGAGGACGGAGCCAGACTCTTCTCAGTGGTACCCAGTGACAGGACAAGGGGCAATGGGCACAAACTGAAGCATAAGAGGTTTCAGTTGAATATGAGGAAGAACTTCTTTACTTTGAGGGTGACAGAGCACTGGAACAGGCTGCCCAGGGGGGTTGTGGAGTTTCCTTCTTTGGAGATATTCAAAGCCTGCCTGGACGCTGTCCTGTGCAACATACTCTAGGTGACCCTGCTTTGGCAGGATGGTTGGACTAGATGATCTCCTGAGGTCCCTTCCAACCCTTGCCATTCTGTGTGATTCTCTGTGTATAGGAAGCTCGGCTTTCCAGCCCAGATATTAGGATCCCTACTCCCCAAACCCTGCTACAGCAAATGAAGACCAGGTATCTAAATGGATGTCCTGGCAAATCCCTTTCTTCAACAGATGTTCTAGAAGAAACAAGGGGAGATGATGGATTTTCAACAAATCCTGTTGTGCAGACTGCCTGTTCAGGAGCTTTTTAATACCAAACAGCTTCCCTGTATGAAACCTGGACTAACATAGATGACTGTCTCTCTTACAAAGAGGTAAATGAAACGCTGAGAACTGAACACTGTTTCTTGGAATACAGCCCTTTACTCTGGCTAAAGTTTAGGGTAGCAATCCATCCCTGAACAAGAAATTCCCTTCAAATCATTAAAACTGAACAATACTGTAAAAATTGTCTTTTCTATTTCCTACGAAGAACCAACATATCTAGTACAGAAATCACTGACAGAAAGGGAAAGAAAAGCACAAAGCAAATGAATAACAAGATGGGCTAAATCAGCAGCACATTAATCTATATTAATTTTTGAGCAGAACAGAAACGCTTCCTTACCATGCGAAACATATTGCTGGCTGGTGGACTCACGTTGGATCGAAACTTGTTGTGAGCTCTCACACAGTCTTCAATGAACTTTGCATCTTCAATGTCAGGCAAGGGATATTGTGGATCAGCGTGACAGCAAGTGAAGAGATCCAGTAAGAACAACACAGCAAAGAAAAATGTGATTTTCATAATTCTTCAGTGCCTTTGTTTTGGTGTTTTTTTTTAAGTTTTTAGAAGAAAAACCTCTTAGGTGGAGATAATACTGGCAAGCACTTCTTCAGAGGTTGTCCTCTGGGTGTGGAAGCACTTGAAAGTGTTGAAGTTTCACTAAGTTACGCTGCTTCATAAGGTACACCTCTCTCTGACATCATAGCTGGCTGCCAAGAGGCAAACTGTGAAACAGGCGTCTGCCGCACGTATTCGCAAGGGGCAACGCTCCAGGTGTAACTCTGCCTTTTCTTTGAGTGTGCTCCATTCTGGTTGACTGCCAAAGCATTCTGTGATTGTAGGTCTTATCTGAAGCGATGCTTTCCTAAAACCTGCCTCTACCATAAAAATTGTAGCTTTAACAAAATACAAATCCGCCGGTCAGAGACCTGGGCAGAAAGGGAACTGAACAAGTTATTCTCTGCTTCCCCTTTTCTTTTACAATAGTTTCTTGTGCTTTGAAACTCTCCCAGTAAGATCACCATTTTTTCCTCTGATAAATTACTTGTTTAAAAAAGACCAAGCAGAAGTGGTCAGTGGGAGGAGCGTTGACACTTTCTCTTTCTCCGTGGGCACAGCAAGCTGGGTGCAAGATGCTTTTGATCCTGTCATGTCCTTGATGAAAAGATGCATGAGGCACTACCAGTCATCTCCAGCTCTCACCTCCCTTGGGCAAGTAAAGGAAAGTAGGAGGTGAAGCACCCACCCTGACACAACCCCAATCCAAGGTGGTCATCACACTTGCAGCCCGGCCGTTGGCTTTTAGCTCCAATTGCTTTACCTGTTCTTCTGTCAGTGGTTGGCTGTGGCTCCATCTGCCTCCAGAATGTGTGTGTGATGGTCATGACCTCACCTACATTTACTAGATCCACCTGCTGACTCTGCCTCCTGGTACACCACTAACAGTGCCAAGGTCCCTTGTCTAGCAGATGTAGTTTCTGTTCTTTTCTGCTGTTACGCTCTATCCCAGAAACTGTGTGTGGATATTGACAAAGGTGATAGGGCCCTCAGCGGCAGTGGAACATTTTAAAATGTACAGGATGGCCTCTTGCTGGCGTTGGTGACCACTGGTCAGGCTGGGATGGTGATTTCGGGTGGGGGGTCCTTCCTGTGGGTGCCATTACCTTCTGTCCTACCAGAGGACAGAGGTTGGTCTCTCCTGTCAGCTGCCAGCTTCTGGGCTACAAGGACCTTCCACTCCACCATGGGCACTCCTGAAGCCCACAAGGTACCATCCGGGTGCCACTGGCAGTACGGTGTGGTGTGTGGAGCACCAGGTGATGGAGAGATCCTTAGATCAAATTACGATAGTTTAGATCATTTTGGTGAATGGCCCCTTCCCCTGCTTCTAAACCGAACACAGAAGGCTTGTCCACTGCTTTGCTTCCTTTGAAACTCTTTTCTAAGCCAAGGCCAACTGAGTTCAGTTTACTGCCAATTACTACCTTTCTCCAGCTGAGTATTACCTTGAAACTAGAAAGTAAATATGTTTTCTCTTTCTTTTTCTTTTCTAACAATGCCCATGAGAAACTAAAGCCTTTGGTCAGCTAGACTTAACATGAAACCATGATTATATCACAACTTCATGCGATTTGCCAAAAAATTATCACCACACAAAACCTGCAGCATTAATTCAGCAATGCAGCGAACTGGCAGTTATATATGCATACGGTTGAAATTCTGTGCTTGGAAACTGAATTGAGACCTTTATGAAGCAGGAAATTTTGACATATCGAGGATAGTCCAGGTTATAAAATCCTCTCCCGCAGAGGTGACTCTGGCTCCATCTAGTGATTCTGTCTATAATTAAAGCAGAAGTCCAGCCTGTCTTCAAGCATCTATAACTGATTTTTTCACAAAAAGAGAGTTATAAATCTTTGCCAGCATTAATCAGTGGATCTTGTAAGCCAGGTGAAAATTAAGCTTTGGGATTTGGATACCACATTATACTTAATGTTAACAATACAAGCGTTGCCTGTCCCTGCATAGATCTCAAGTGAAACTTAGCACAATGAGCTGGGTATGGGCAGGAGGCTGTATGTACAACCCAGTATTTTGAAAAAAATCCCAATGTTTACATCTCCCTTTCTCACGTCTCACCTGCTTTCAGTTTAAAATGGCTGGAAACATAAGACCTAAGATTCTTAGTTTTTCCCTAACGTATGATTCAGTCAGAGCACTAAAGGCTGGTGGATTACAGACTATTACAGAAATCCAAGATGCCTGGGAATCTGTAAAATTACATTTAACTTTGTCCTCAAATAATCAACATCCCCACAGAATACCGCTGTTTGTGTTGGAGAGAGAATCTGTTTGTCCTTGGCTTACTGGTTCAGCTGAAGAAGCTGGGGTGGATCTGCTGGGGTTTCATGTTTTGTTCACAGGATTAGGAAGCTGCAAGATCACTTGGCCTTCCGGACCTGTGAATAAACCAATATTCTGACATGTGTTGCTACTTCTATTACACAATTTCACCTCGGGGCAGAAAGCAGATTAATTCAAAGGATGGTGGTGGTACTGGATTTCCACAAGAATTATTTTGTAATAATGTATTTTGTAATTGTTCATTAAAATTAAAAAAAAAATTGCAAGTCTTTTGTAATAATGAGGCTGTAAACAGCCTCACAGTTAACAGGGGAAGCCATCAGTATGTGGCTGGGCTGCAGGTAGTTTTACTGTAGTTTTGGCTAGGGGAATTTGTACAGTGCTGCTTACTGCAACTATGCCGCTTGGCCTAACCAAGCAAAAACCACAATATGGTGCTTGCTGCGTTCTCCAAAAAAAGTACTGGGATGTGATACGGACCAAAGCATGAGAGGTTGGTAGGTGTTCTTTCCCCTGTGGTGCCTACCTCCCACCAGTCAAGATGCCCCCTTATCACATCTACTTTGCCCCTCAAGGGCAGTCTGTTTCACTCCTTCCTCTCAACCAAAAGAAAGGAAGTGTGAAGCACTCACCCACCGAAGGCTGGCTCCTCCCTTTGGTGATAGCTCAGCTAAAGACTGTGAATGGAAGATGGATAGGCAGCGATAATTATAGAATCAGAGATTCGTTTAGGTTGGAAAAGACCTTTAAGATCATCAAGTCCAACCTTTAACCTAACCCTGCCATCCCACCACTAAACCATGTCCCCTAAGCACCTCGTCTGCCCATCTTTTAAATACCTCTAGGGATTGGGATTCGACCACTTCCCTGGGCAGCCCCTTCCAATGCTTGACAACCCTCGCAGTGAAGAAATTTTTCCTGATGTCCAACCTAAACCTGCCCTGGTGCAACTTGAGGCCATTCCCTCTCGTTCTAGCACCTGTTACCTGGGAGAAAAGATGGACCCCACCTCATTTACACCCTCCTTTCAGTGCACCATATAAATACCTGAAGGGAGGGTGTAGAGAAGACAAAAGCCAGCCTCTCTCCAGTGGTGCCCAGTGACAGAACCAGAGGCAATGGGCACAAACTGAAAGACAGGAGGTTCCCTCTGAACATCAGGAAACATTTTTTTTTTTACTGTGAGGGTGACAGAGCACTGGTACAGGTTGCCCAGGGAGGTTGCGGAGTCTCCATCCTTGGAGATATTCAGAAGCTGCCCAGACATGGTCCTGAGCAACCAGGTCTAGCTGTTCCTGCTTGAGCACGGGTGTTAGACCAGATGACCTCTAGAGGTCCCTTCCAACCTCAACCATTCTATGATTCCTTGATGGAGCCACAGCCTCAGCAAGTTGTGCAGGATGAAGGATTTAGCATAATCTCAACAACATAGGTACAGGAGGCTTGTTACAGAGTACAAGCGTATGCCTAGCTGGACAGGATCTCTGGTTATCTTCCTTGCCCTTCACACATGATTTAAATTTCTTGAACTTAAATTACTATCACTTGTCACATTTGTTTGTTTCTTTCTAAATTCAAGGCATTTGAAAAATGAGGCGGCTTTTCTGCTGTCCACTGTTAAGCCTCTTTTCACAGGAGAACACCAGAAATGGTTGGTGCACGGCAGCAGTATGGAAGTGTTCAAGAACTGCTACAATACTATTGGAATATTATGGAATACTACTCAGGAATCTCCTGCGAGAAGATATAGCAAGCCATTACAGTCCACATCCATGCTGGTTTTAAAAAGGGGATCTTCGAATGAACTATCTTCTCAGCCATACATAGGTTTCTTTCCAAAGACACCAAATAGGGGGACAGGGCAAACTAGATGTGTTTTGTGTGGACACCATAAAAGCCAGCACTGAGGACAGAAACCTGGTGTCACAAGTTGAGGAAAGCAGAATGAAAACATTTTCATGGATGGAAAAGTACTTCATTTATTGAAACAGGATCTGATGGCATCCCTATGTGCACCTCATTCCATGTTGCAAATTCCATGCTCAGGAAAAACACTAAAACTGTCTCTCAGATGAAAGGCCTGCTATCAGCCTGGCTTAAAGACGGCACATAGGAACCGACCTTTTTCTAAAACTTTGGGAGACTGCAGAGCTCTTTTTCAACTTTGCCTTCTCTCCAAGGCATACTGTGATTGTCACAGTCCTAATGGTAACAGAGTCATTAAATGACAAGAAGGACAGTTGTTCTCAGGGATAGGAATTACTGTGTGAGATATGAATTTCTTTCAGGCTATCTCATAGCTCCAAGTAGGAAAACTTATGTTTTAATAACAGAATGTAAATGGGGTGGGGTGGGGTGTGTGTTTGTAAAAATGCAGCATCCTAAAACGATGCAATATTAACACTTTAAAACTTGACAGAGCTTTACTGTAGTATCAAATTTTATATTTCAGGCACTAAGGAAACTTTTTTTCCTAACAGGCATCTGAAATTTAGCTGCGAAGCAAGCTTTTCAACTCTAATACAGCATCTAAATAATGATTTTATCTTCAGAGGTGGTGAATATCAGCAACTTCCACATAAACCAATGGGAATAGCTACTGCTCAGGAACTTTCATGCTGGATGATTTTGCATGTAGGAGCCACCTATTTATGGTTTTAGGTATACAAGATTAGGCTTCTAGATTTGAGAATGTAATCCAAGTTTTAAATAATAAAACTTGCATTTGAAAACTCTGTATTTCAGTAATTTTAGAATAGAAAACTTAGAGAAGAAATAGCTAGCACATGCCTAACTATAATTTAATCCACAATAAAAGTCTAGCTTATTTTATTTGAGATTGTTTTTTAAGTATTTTTATATAATGAATTATCAGTATAAATTTAGATAATAAATTGGAATGTTTTAGACCTAAATTGTCAATCACACACAGAGGAAGAAAGTATAAGACAAATTAGTTCCTAAACCTGAACTCACAGAAGCTCAATTTGAGTTCTGAACATTAAGAAAATAGCAGAATTCGACTCCGTGGGTTTTTTATTTATTTGTTCATTTTACAATAACAGTGAAACACTACCTAATAATAATGAATT